ACCGATTCCTTCTACGGGACAACTTTTATCCTCCGTGGCTAACGACATTTTCATGTTAGTTATCGGCTTAAGATCTAAAAATAAACTCTTGTCATTACAAAAATGACTCGTGGCAGCAGTATCTATTACCCAAACACCTTTATCAGAGTTTTCCTCAAATAAGATACAACTAGTTACGAGTTGTTTATCTAGTTCTAAAAGACTACATTCAGCTTCACAAAATCTTAAATTTATATTAAACTCTGTGTTAAAAAGTTTCATTTACATTTGAAGGAGATTTTTGTAGAGACTTTTCTCTTTACAGTTTACTTTAAGATGTCCGTACTTATTACATACATAACACGGACCTATAATCTTAATAGATTGTTTAACATTTTTAATAGTTTTACAGTTTAATACCTTACCACTTTTCTTTTGGTAATCATTATTGCCATTTGGATCTCCATGAGCTGCAGCCGTAGCACCAGGTAACGTCTTCGACTTCTTGGAATGAAACCGCTCAAGTAAGCATTCTCCGCTTTCTCCAAATCTTGTTTCATCAACTGAAGACGATTGGCTTCTAATATCAGCTCTGCTTCAATTTTGACAACTCTGAAGTCCTCTTCTTTCCATCTGTAGATTTGTTGCACGGTAGACTGGAATTCTGAGGAAGCCACCTTATTAATTGAAATCCTATGTACAGGTCGTCCAATTTATGACCCGCTTCTTGTAGTCTGGTTGCCGCTGTCTTTACACGAGATATGAAGATTCCAACATCTTCCCTGGTTGGTATTTTGTTCCAAAAATTGATCTAATAGTTGAATTACTCTTGCTCTTGTGACTGGTTCGAAGTGATCTTTTAATATCTTCCATGCCGCTACTCCGTCAGTTGTTTCCGTTATCAGATTTTTCAAATCTGAACTGATGTTAGTATAGATCAACGTATAACATCTATCCTTACGAAGTTGTAGATCTAATTTTTCCTTGTATGTTGCTTCTTCATCAGGTTGCTCTGGCTTGGTCTGTATTATAAACTGCCAGCAACCATAATGCATTAAGAGTACTTGCATATCATGCTTCCACGTGTTCCAGTTGTTTTGAGTCAACACTGATATCTGGTTGTTAAACTCCATATCTGCTACTCGATTTAGCGTACTAGCAACAGAGTTCATAAAAAAAAAAGTTCTAGACTGGAACAGTATTTAAATAGACAAAGTTCATGGCCTGGTTCAACTGCTTAGCCTGCCTCGACACAGTACATGGACTGGGCCCATAACCAAATTTGTTACACTTATTGGTAAACTAATTTAAATTTTGCAAAGCTAGCAGTGAAATTTATGTGTCGAGGAGGCATGAAGACGAAAAACAGTTTCTTAAAAATTGGCCTTTAATAATCAATCATAAAGTCACTCTGCTCGTTACTGGAGCGATAAAAACAATAAGTTCAAAAAGTAACATTACCAGCGACATCCGAATCGAACCGTCTTCTAATATTGTAAAATTAATTTCTAATCTAAAATGGTGATGCAACCTGCAGTTGCATTGCCAACCAGCCTTTCTCTCCCTCTAGGAGTTAAACCACTCACATACTTCTTATATTTCCGTTTCTCCTTCCTTTTTCTAAAACTAACATGAGCCGAGTTTAAATACTAGCTCGATTTGCATGGCAGTTGCTGCCAACCTCAAATCACGAAACTCAAAAAGATCGGGTTCGAATCGGTGTGCTTCCTTTCATTGAGATCATGGAACGGGATTGGAAAAACAACACAAGGAGATCATAAAAATTTGGATCCGACTTTTTTTTAAATGTCTAACAAACTTTTCGAGATATATTAATTTTTCTTCGAGGCCGTTTTCGTTCAATTCTTCTAAAAATGATGCGTTTCTTAAGGATATAAAAATTGCTTTGAAAGCGAGAGCAGAGTTTCGCAGTGGAAGCGTGCTGGGCCCATAACCCAGAGGTCCATGGATCGAAACCACGCTCTACTATAAATATTTTGGTTTTTTTTTCATATAAAAATAGAAAACAAATTAGCAGGCACTATAAATCCGTTGCTAAATTTTAAAAATAACTCAATAATATCGCCAGATATTTGAATTTTTATTCCAGGTAGTTTTCGTAAGATATTTCTAAAAGGGATGCGTTTCTTAAGGATAATAGAATTGCTACAAAAATGAGAGCAGAGTTGCGCAGTGGAAGCGTGCTGGGCCCATAACCCAGAGGTCCGTGGATCGAAACCACGCTCTGCTATAAACATTTTAGTTTTTTTTCATATGAAAAAAGAGAACAATATTGCAAGCACTATAAATCCGTTGCAAATTTTTTAAAAAACTCAATAAAATCTCGAGATACTTGAATTTTTATTCCAGGTAGTTTTCGTAAGATATTTCTAAAAGGGATGCGTTTCTTAAGAATATTAGAATTGCGATAAAATCGAGAGCAGAGTGGCGCTGTGGAAGGGTGCTTGGCCTATAACCCAGAAGTCCGTGGATCGAAACCACGCTCTGTTATAATAATTTTAGTTTTTTTTCCGTATCAAAATAGAAAACAATATTGCAAGCACTATAAATTCGTTGCAAATTTTTTAAAATAACTCAATAATATCGCAAGATATTTTAATTTTTCTTCGAGGCCGATTTCGTCCGATTCTTCTAAATGTGATTCGTTTCTTAAGGATATAAAAATTGCTTTGAGAGCGAGAGCAGAGTGGCGCAGTGGATGCGTGCTGGGCCAGAGGTCCAAAACCCTGCTATAAATATTTTGGTTCTTTTCATATGAAAATAGAAAACAAATTAGCAAGCACTAAGAATCCGTCGCTAATTTTTAAAAATAACTCAATAATATCGCCAGATATTTGAATTTTTATTCCAGGTAGTTTTCGTAAGATATTTCTAAAAGGGATGCGTTTCTTAAGGATAATAGAATTGCTATAAAAGGAGAGCAGAGTGGCGCAGTGGAAACGTGCTGGGCCCATAACCCAGAGGTCCGTGGATCGAAACCACGCTCTGCTATAACTATTTTAGTTTTTTTTCATATGAAAAGAGAGAACAATATTTCAAGCACTATAAATCCGTTGCAATTTTTTTAAAATTACTCAATAATATCGCGAGTTATTTTAATTTTTCTTCGAGGCCGTGTTCGTTGAGTTCTTCTAAAAGTGATGCGTTTCCTAAGGATATAAAAATTACTTTCAGAACGATAACAGAGTGGCGCAGTGGAAGCGTGCTGGGCCCATAACATAGATGTCCGTGGATCAAACCACGCTGTGCTGTAAATATTTTTTTTCATATGAAAAAAGAGAACACTATTGCAATCACTATATATCCGTTGCAAATTTTTTAAAAAAATCTAAATAAAATCTCGAGATATTTCAATTTTTACTCCAGGTAGTTTTCGTAAGATATTTCTGAGAGGGATGCGTTTCTTAAGGATATTAGAATTGCTATGAAGTCGAGACCAGTGTGGCGCAGTGGAAGCGTGCTTGGCCTATAACCCAGAGGTCCGTGGATCGAAAGAACGCTCTGCTATAAGAATTTTAGTTTTTTTTCATATGAAAATAGAAAACAATATTGCAAGCACTATAAATCCGTTGCATTTTTTTTATAATTACTCAATAATATCACAAAATATTTTAATCTTTCTTCGAGGCCGTTTTCGTTCAATTCTTCTAAAATTGATGCGTTTCTTAAGGATATAAAAATTGCTTTGAGAGCGAGATCCGAGTTGCGCAGTGGAAGCGCACTGGGCCCAAAACTCAGAGGTCCGTTTATCGAAACCACGCACTGCTATAAATATTTTAGTTTTTTTCATGAGTAAAAAAAAACACTATTGTTAGCACTATATATCCGTAGAAAATTTTTTTTAAAGAAACTCAACAAATTCTCGAGATATTTGAATTTTTATTCCATGTAGTTTTTGTAAAATATTTTTAAAAGGGATGCGTTTCTTAAGGATAATAGAATTGCTATGAAAAGGAAAGCAGAGTGGCGCAGAGGAAGCGTCCTGGGCCCATAACCCAGAGGTCCGTGGGTCGAAACCACGCTCTGCTATAAATGTTTTAGTTTTTTTTTTCATATGAAAATAGAAAACAATTTTGCAAGCACTATAAATCCGTTGCAAATTTTTTAAAATAACTCAATAATATCGCCAGATATTTCTTTTCAGGCGGTTTTCGTTCAATTCTTTTAAAAGTAATGCGTTTCTTAAGGATATTAATATTGTTATGAAATCGTGAGCAGTGTGGTATAGTGTAAGCGTGAAACGTCGATAACCTAGAGGTCCGTGTATCGAAACCATGCTCTGCTATAAGGCTTTTAGTTTTTTCCATATGAAAAAAAGAGATCAATATTGCAAGCACAATAAATCCGTTGCAAATTTTTTTTTAAATAACTCAATAACTTTGCGAGATATTTTAATTTTTCTTCGAGGCCGTTTTCGTTCAATTCTTCTAAAAGTGATGCGTTTCTTAAGGATATAAAAATTGCTTTGAAAGCGAGATTAGAGTGGCGCAGTTGAAGCGTGCTGGGCCCATTACCCAGAGGTCCGTGGATCGAAACCACGCTCTGCTATAAATATTTTGGTTTTTTTTTCACATGAAAATAGAGAACAAATTAGCAAGCACTATAAATTCGTTGCAAATTTTTAAAAATAACTCAATAATATCGCCAGGTATTTGAATATTTATTCCAGGTAGTTTTCGTATCATATTTCTAAAAGGGATGCGTTTTTTAAGGATAATGAAATTGCTATAAAAAGGACATCAGAGTGGCGCAGTGGAAGCGTGCTGGGCCAATAACCCAAAGGTCCGTGGATCGAAACCATGCTCTGCTATAAATATTTTTGTTTTTTTCATATGAAAAAAGATAACACTATTGCAAGCACTATATATCCATTGCAAATTTTTTTAAAAAAATCTAAATAAAATCTCGAGATATTTTAATTTTTATTCCAGGTAGTTTTCGTAAGATATTTCTAAAAGGGATGCGTTTCTTAAGTATATTAGAATTGCTACGAAATCGAGAGCGGAGTGGCGCAGTGGATGCGTTTTTGGCCCCTAACCCAGAAGTACGTGGATCGAAACCATGCTCTGCTATAAATATTTTAGTTTTTTTTCCATATCAAAATAGAAAACAATATTGCAAGCACTATAAATTCGTTGCATTTTTTTTAAAATAACTCAATAATATCGCGAGTTATTTTAATTTTTCTTCGAGGCCGTGTTCTTTGAGTTCTTCTAAAAGTGATGCGTTTCCTAAGGTTATAAAAATTGCTTTCAGAACGATAACAGAGTGGCGCAGTGGAAGCGTGCTGGGCCCATAACCCACAGGTCCGTGGATCAAAACCACGCTCTGCTATAAATATTTTTTTTCATATGAAAAAAGAGAACACTATTGCAAGCTCTATATATCCGTTGCAAATTTTTTTTAAAAAATCTAAATAAAATCTCGAGATATTTTAATTTTTATTCCAGGTAGTTTTCGTAAGATATTTCTAAAAGGGATGCGTTTCTTAAGGATATTAGAATTGCTATGAAATCGAGAGCAGTGTGGCGCAGTGGAAGCGTGCCTGGCCTATAACCCAGAGGTCCGTGGATCGAAACAACGCTCTGCTATGAGAATTTTAGTTTTTTTCATATGAAAATAGAAAACAATATTGCAAGCACTATAAATCCGTTGCATTTTTTTTATAATTACTCAATAATATCACAAAATATTTTAATCTTTCTTCGAGGCCGTTTTCGTTCAATTCTTCTAAAATTGATGCGTTTCTTAAGGATATAAAAAATTGCTTTGAGAGCGAGATCCGAGTTGCGCAGTGGAAGCGCACTGGGCCCAAAACTCAGAGGTCCGTTTATCGAAACCACGCACTGCTATAAATATTTTAGTTTTTTTCATGAGTAAAAAAAAACACTATTGTTAGCACTATATATCCGTAGAAAATTTTTTTTAAAGAAACTCAACAAATTCTCGAGATATTTGAATTTTTATTCCATGTAGTTTTTGTAAAATATTTTTAAAAGGGATGCGTTTCTTAAGGATAATAGAATTGCTATGAAAAGGAAAGCAGAGTGGCGCAGAGGAAGCGTCCTGGGCCCATAACCCAGAGGTCCGTGGGTCGAAACCACGCTCTGCTATAAATGTTTTAGTTTTTTTTTTCATATGAAAATAGAAAACAATTTTGCAAGCACTATAAATCCGTTGCAAATTTTTTAAAATAACTCAATAATATCGCCAGATATTTCTTTTCAGGCGGTTTTCGTTCAATTCTTTTAAAAGTAATGCGTTTCTTAAGGATATTAATATTGTTATGAAATCGTGAGCAGTGTGGTATAGTGTAAGCGTGAAACGTCGATAACCTAGAGGTCCGTGTATCGAAACCATGCTCTGCTATAAGGCTTTTAGTTTTTTCCATATGAAAAAAAGAGATCAATATTGCAAGCACAATAAATCCGTTGCAAATTTTTTTTTAAATAACTCAATAACTTTGCGAGATATTTTAATTTTTCTTCGAGGCCGTTTTCGTTCAATTCGGTTCACACCTAGAAGAGCCTCCACCCTTGGCGCGAATTACTTTGGTTGGCAAAAATTGCGCGCCGTCATGGTAACCTTGCTTTTAAATACAACATATGGCAACCCTGACTTTTTCTAGAATTTTCGTCATTTGTGGGCGCGCATTTCAAATTTCATTTTGTTGTTGCTCACCGGGTTGAAAGTATGGCTGCGCTTGTAAGTGAATACAGGTTAGAATTTTTTACGTTATTGAATGCTAGAGGCAAGAAAGAATTGATTGAATGGTGTTTGAAAGAAGGATTAATTGCTTCAAGTTATGAATGTTCTAAATGTAATGAGCAAATGGGATTAAATGAACGAAAGAGTGTTGTTTTGGATGGATTTGAATGGAGATGTCGAAATAAAGGTGTGAATACGCATTACGTTTGCAGAAGTATAAGAAAGAATTCGTGGTTTTCCAATGGTAAGTTAATCGGCAATAAAACGTTTTCTCCGTAATCACACCAGCCACGTAGAAGGCATGTTCGACCATTACCTCGCTGAGTATTTATGGCGGCGCTCTCGCGATCACTCACTCAGCGACGAGACTTTCCAGAATTTTTTAAAAGCAGTTGTTACACTTTATCAACAATAAGAAAGTAAGTGCTGTTGTTATATTTTTTATCTTAAATGTTAAATTTCTGTATTGTTTACATATATTTTCATTGCGCATGCATCTTATACTGCTATATTTACTTGTCACCGCTGTCGGGTTTGCTTGGCGCCATTTCGTTTTCGCTTGGCGCTTTTTCCGGTTTGGCGCCAAGGGTGGGGGCTCACCTAGGAGTTTACCTTCAATTCTTCTAAAAGTGATGCGTTTCTTAAGGATATAAAAATTGCTTTGAAAGCGAGATTAGAGTGGCGCAGTTGAAGCGTGCTGGGCCCATTACCCAGAGGTCCGTGGATCGAAACCACGCTCTGCTATAAATATTTTTTTTTCATATGAAAAAAGAGAACACTATTGCAAGCACTATATATCCTTTGCAAATTTTATTTAAAAAAACTCAATAAAATCTCGAGATACTTGAATTTTTATTCCAGGTAGTTTTCGTAAGATATTTCTAAAAGGGATGCGTTTCTTAAGTATATTAGAATTGCTACGAAATCGAGAGCGGAGTGGCGCAGTGGATGCGTTTTTGGCCCCTAACCCAGAAGTACGTGGATCGAAACCATGCTCTGCTATAAATATTTTAGTTTTTTTTCATATGAAAAGAGAGTACAATATTTCAAGCACTATAAATCCGTTGCAATTTTTTTAAAATTACTCAATAATATCGCGAGTTATTTTAATTTTTCTTCGAGGCCGTGTTCTTTGAGTTCTTCTAAAAGTGATGCGTTTCCTAAGGATATAAAAATTGCTTTCAGAACGATAACAGAGTGGCGCAGTGGAAGCGTGCTGGGCCCATAACCCACAGGTCCGTGGATCAAAACCACGCTCTGCTATAAATATTTTTTTTCATATGAAAAAAGAGAACACTATTGCAAGCACTATATATCCGTTGCAAATTTTTTTTAAAAAATCTAAATAAAATCTCGAGATATTTTAATTTTTATTCCAGGTAGTTTTCGTAAGATATTTCTAAAAGGGATGCGTTTCTTAAGGATAATAGAATTGCTATGAAAAGGAGAGCAGAGTGGCGCAGAGGAAGCGTCCTGGGCCCATAACCCAGAGGTCCGTGGGTCGAAACCACGCTCTGCTATAAATGTTTTAGTTTTTTTTTTTCATATGAAAATAGAAAACAATTTTGCAAGCACTATAAATCCGTTGCAAATTTTTTAAAATAACTCAATAATATCGCCAGATATTTTTTTCAGGCGGTTTTCGTTCAATTCTTTTAAAAGTAATGCGTTTCTTAAGGATATTAATATTGTTATGAAATCGTGAGCAGTGTGGTATAGTGTAAGCGTGAAACGTCGATAACCTAGAGGTCCGTGTATCGAAACCATGCTCTGCTATAAGGCTTTTAGTTTTTTCCATATGAAAAAAAGAGATCAATATTGCAAGCACAATAAATCCGTTGCAAATTTTTTTTTAAATAACTCAATAACTTTGCGAGATATTTTAATTTTTCTTCGAGGCCGTTTTCGTTCAATTCGGTTCACACCTAGAAGAGCCCCCACCCTTGGCGCGAATTACTTTGGTTGGCAAAAATTGCGCGCCGTCATTGTAACCTTGCTTTTAAATAGAACATATGGCAACCCTGACTTTTTCTAGAATTTTCGTCATTTGTGGGCGCGCATTTCAAATTTCATTTTGTTGTTGCTCACCGGGTTGAAAGTATGGCTGCGCTTGTAAGTGAATACAGGTTAGAATTTTTTACGTTATTGAATGCTAGAGGCAAGAAAGAATTGATTGAATGGTGTATGAAAGAAGGATTAATTGCTTCAAGTTATGAATGTTCTAAATGTAATGAGCAAATGGGATTAAATGAACGAAAGAGTGTTGTTTTGGATTGATTTGAATGGAGATGTCGAAATAAAGGTGTGAATACGCATTACGTTTGCAGAAGTATAAGAAAGAATTCGTGGTTTTCCAATGGTAAGTTAATCGGCAATAAAACGTTTTCTCCGTAATCACACCAGCCACGTAGAAGGCATGTTCGACCATTACCTCGCTGAGTATTTATGGCGGCGCTCTCGCGATCACTCACTCAGCGACGAGACTTTCCAGAATTTTTTAAAAGCAGTTGTTACACTTTATCAACAATAAGAAAGTAAGTGCTGTTGTTATATTTTTTATCTTAAATGTTAAATTTCTGTATTGTTTACATATATTTTCATTGCGCATGCATCTTATACTGCTATATTTACTTGTCACCGCTGTCGGGTTTGCTTGGCGCCATTTCGTTTTCGCTTGGCGCTTTTTCCGGTTTGGCGCCAAGGGTGGGGGCTCACCTAGGAGTTTACCTTCAATTCTTCTAAAAGTGATGCGTTTCTTAAGGATATAAAAATTGCTTTGAAAGCGAGATTAGAGTGGCGCAGTTGAAGCGTGCTGGGCCCATTACCCAGAGGTCCGTGGATCGAAACCACGCTCTGCTATAAATATTTTTTTTTCATATGAAAAAAGAGAACACTATTGCAAGCACTATATATCCTTTGCAAATTTTATTTAAAAAAACTCAATAAAATCTCGAGATACTTGAATTTTTATTCCAGGTAGTTTTCGTAAGATATTTCTAAAAGGGATGCGTTTCTTAAGTATATTAGAATTGCTACGAAATCGAGAGCGGAGTGGCGCAGTGGATGCGTTTTTGGCCCCTAACCCAGAAGTACGTGGATCGAAACCATGCTCTGCTATAAATATTTTAGTTTTTTTTCCATATCAAAATAGAAAACAATATTGCAAGCACTATAAATTCGTTGCATTTTTTTAAAATAACTCAATAATATCGCAAGATATTTTAATTTTTCTTCGAGGCCGATTTCGTTCCATTCTTCTAAAAGTGATACGTTTCTTAAGGATATAAAAATTGCTTTGAGAGCGAGAGCAGAGTGGCGCAGTGGAAGCGTGCTGGGCCCATAAACCAGACGTACGTGGATAGAAACCACGCTCTGCTATAAACGTTTTAGTTTTTTTTTTCATATGAAAAAAGAGAACAATATTGCAAGAACTATAAATCCGTTGCAAATTTTTTAAATATATCAATAAAATCTCGAGATATTTGAATTTTTATTCCAGGTAATTTTCGTAAGATATTTGTAAAAGTGATGCGTTTCTTAAGGATAATAGAGTTGCGATAAAAAGAAGAGCAGAGTGTGCAGTGGAAGCGTGCTGGGCCCATAACCCAGAGGTCCGTGGATCGAAACCACGCTCTTCTATGAATATTTTTTTTTTTTTTCTAATGAAAATAGAAAACAAATTAGCAAGCACTATAAATCCGCTGCTAATTTTTAAAAATACTTAATAATATCGCCAGATATTTGAATTTTTATTCCAGGTAATTTTCGTAAGATATTTCTAAAAGGGATGCGTTTCTTTAGGATATTAGAATTGCAATGAACTCGAGAGCAGAGTGGCGCAGTGGAAGCGTGCTGGGCCCATAACCCGAAGGTCCGTAGATCGAAACCACGCTTTGCTATAAATATTTTAGTTTTTTTTCAAATGAAAAAAGAGAACAATATTTCAAGCACTATCAATCCGTTGCAATTTTTTTAAAATAACTCAATAATATCGCGAGTTATTTTAATTTTTCTTCGAGGCCGTGTTCGTTGAGTTCTTCTAAAAGTGATGCGTTTCCTAAGGATATAAAAATTGCTTTCAGAACGATAGCAGAGTGGCGCAGTGGAAGCGTGCTGGGCCCATAACCCACAGGTCCGTGGATCGAAACCACGCTCTGCTATAAATATTTTAGTTTTTTTTTTCATATGAAAATAGAAAAAAATTTTGCAAGCACTATAAATCCGTTGCAAATTTTTTAAAATAACTCAATAATATTGCCAGATATTTTTTTCCAGGCGGTTTTCGTTCAATTCTTTTAAAAGTAATGCGTTTTTTAAGGATATTAATATTGTTAATAAATCGTGAGCAGTGTGGTATAGTGGAAGCGTGAAATGTCGATAACATAGAGGTTCGTGTATCGAAACCACGCTCTGCTATAAGGCTTTAAGTTTTTTTCCATATGAAAAGGAGAATAATATTGCAAGCACAATAAATGCGTTGCAATTTTTTTTAATAACTCAATAACTTTGCGAGATATTTTTATTTTTCTTCGAGGCCGTTTTCGTTTAATTCTTCTAAAAGTCATGCTTTTCTTAAGGATATAAAAATTGCTTTCAGAGCGAGAGCAGAGTGGAGCAGTGGAAGCGTGCTGGGCCCTTGCCTCCGAGGTCTGTGGATCGAAACCACGCTCTGCTATAATTTTTTTTTCATATGAAAAAAGAGAACACTATTGCAAGCACTATATATCGTTTGCAAATTTTTTAAAAAAAATCTAAATAAAATTTTGAGATATTTTAATTTTTATTCCAGGTAGTTTTCGTAAGATATTTCTAAAAGGGATGCGTTTCTTAAGGATATTAGAATTGCAATGAACTCGAGAGCAGAGTGGCGCAGTGGAAGCGTGCTGGGCCCATAACCCAAAGGTCCGTGGATCGAAACCACGTTTTGTTATAAATATTTTAGTTTTTTTTTCAAATGAAAAAAGAGAAGAATATTTCAAGCACTATAAATCCGTTGCAATTTTTTTAAAATAACTCAATAATATCGCGAGTTAGCTGTGAATTGTAAAGAGTACAAAGCCAAATGCTCGACAATGTTTACAAAAATGTAAAATGATTTCTTTAAAGCGGTTGCTCAAATTATAATTAGTTTTAAGCGAATGGTAATTTTTAGCCTCACAGAATTAGCATTTATATTTGATGTTAAATAATGAACAATAATATAAAATTCCGATGAAGAATAACTGTATTTTTTTTAACATTTAAAACGAAAAGACTTCAACATGTTTTAACCCGGGAGCAGGCGCGCACTCGAAACGGTCGTTAGGGGTTGTTCAGTCAACCTAATCTTTTTTTTGTAATTATTCTATTGTACTCGATACAAATCGTGATTCCAGTGAATAATTTAATTAAGAGAAAGTATACTTACCTACTTTCAAGGACTTTTCTCAATTATTCTTTTTTAACAAATAAACAGTTTTGCCAGAATTAACGATTTCATAATCTGTGCGTCCCACGCGACCACTTCCAGGTAAAAAGTGTATTCATTATTATTATATGAAATTGTGTAAAACGTTTTTCGCGTTATGCTTTATATGAATAGAATACTCGTAAAATAAGTCTTCGCCAAGTAATCGTTCAAAATGTGCTCTCCGTGGTTTTCCAAAAATCATCTCTTTTGCATGGAAAAAAGCGTAACAGAGAAATACATTACTTACAACTTCCCTAAATGAGAAACAAACACATAAAAGAGGGGTCATAACTAAATGTACCAATAACTTAGAAGGTTAAACAGATTACAGCTATAATGTGCAGTTTTTCAAAAATAATGACAGTGATGAATTTTTTATGTTCTTAAATTTTTTCGATTCTGTGTCTGGGATCTGTTTTGTCTTTGAAAGAGTTGTATCTTAGGTTTAAACAGAAAGCGTAATAAAAAAATCTCTCATCATGGAATTGCAGCAAATCAAATAAATGTTTTTTTATTTGGTTATAGGATCAAAGATAGCTAATTAGGTGTTGAAGAAGTTTTTATTTTTGTTGACTTAATATCGCGCGCCTATAAATTATATCAGAGTAAAAGTGCATTTTTTATTATGTCTGAAAGTATTTTGTTTTAATTCATTCCAGTAAATTAATTATTTTAAATATTTTATTTTCGATATGCTCGCGCCCCCTCGTAGGGTTATCGCGCCCCCGGGGGGCGCGCCCCACAGTTTGAGAAACACTGAAATACACAATAAATATGAAATATATAATAAAAATTTCCAGTTCATGCATACAGTAGAAGTATAGAAAAAGGAATAAACAATTTATTAAAAATTGTCATTTTCTGTGTCACGACATCTGTTCATTAGTGAAAAATGTCAAAAAATATTTAAAAATTTTGCATAAAGAATAAGAACACACAACAATATATATGAAATATATAGTAAAAGTCTCCAGTTCATGCATACAGTATATTTAAAGAAAAAAGAACAATTTGAGCTTTTAATCGGCGTAATCGTGTTCCCATGCGCTTCAGTACATGGCCAATACACTCCAATTTTTCAACTGGATATTCATTTCCATAAATGTTTTTCTTTTTTACCGCATCAAATGCTTTGCTATCCCCATCTCCTAAGTACGTAATATATTAGGCATTATGTAAAGATAATGACAGTTGAAAAATTTTAGACGCACCTTGGATTTCCATCGCTCCACTACATCCAACGTAGTTCCTTTTACAATCTTTTTCACGAAAAGGCAAGTTTTAACAAGCGCAATATTTCGAAAGAATATCAACATCTATCACCTTACCGGTATCAATGCTGGTTACAGTAACTACACCATTCAAGGATGTGTAACCACGCTTCTGACATGTCCCATCTACAGCTACTGCTATATTTTTGTTACCTTCAATTTCACAAATAGCTTCCTTCGCAGAATTTTGAATTGAATCCTCATAAACAAGTTTAGCAGCATTTAAAATTCGCTTACCGTAAGGAGAAAACTTTGTAGGTGGTTGCGGAAGATTCATTACGCCGCAGAACATTCTCCCTGCTTCTGCACCTTTTCCAATTGAACGCATAGCATACACAAACCTGGTATTTATTGTAGCAATTTGTGTTCCTTCATGAAAATTTGAAGAAGAGAATTCTGCACGATATGGACAAGCAAAACATTTCAGGACAAACGTAATAGCCAGTCCAGACTTACCTTTTAAAACTTGCATGTCTAAACCACTGTTGCACATTTTACAGTGAACTTCATTCTTGAAAACAAAAGCAAGAATATTCAAATTCATGATTGCATTTAAAATACCTACGCTATCACCAAAAGAAGAAAAACTCTCATTTAAATTGGGAATTTTCTTTTCTTTTGCACATGACTGCTTTGAATCATGTGCATGTTCAGAGAGCTTGAGCATTTAATTTACTATCAGTGGTACTTACTTTACTATTAATAGTATTCTTACGTGGATAATACTTACCTTTGCGTTTCTTGAAAACTTTTTGCAATCTTGGCATTTCAAAATTTCAGAAATATTAAGTATCGATAAACGACAAGGGCTCAATCAAAACGTGTTCGAAAGCGCCAAAAATAGGTAAACAACCCTAACAGTTACACTTGCAGTTATTCTACAGTTAATTTCGTGGGAATAAATAAAACAGATAATGGCTTTGCAAGAGCATCCCAGTTTTAAAAGGCCAATGTTTACATTCTATCTGTCAAATTAGGCGTGGCAAATCAGTTGATTATTTTTTAAAAGACATTTTAAAATACTTCTAATTCAAAAATTGACTAATATGTTATATCATTGGAAAGGGCTTAATTTGGAGATTTGAGAAATATCAAAATCTCAAAATCGATTTCTGGAAGGTGTTCACCATACCGACTGCCCTTAAATACTAATTTAAGTCTAACAATTCTGCTTCTTTACAGATTCTTATCTTCATTGTCCTTTGTACAAAGAAAAATTAATTATAATCTTCATTTTTCTACATAGGCTTCAGCTTTTTCACAATCTTCTAGTACTCAGTAAACATTAGATTTAATTCCCGAGCCGAATGAAAACTTTCAATAGACTTCAGGGTCTGTCAGCCTGAAACAAAAACTTCCGAGGTCAATTGGTAAAAACAAAGTTACACACATTATAATTACATTTCACAATTTTTATACATTACATATCACTTTTAAATTGCAACTAATATCTATACATATATTTCATCTGGATCTTTCGAACACTTCCCCTTAAATCGCGTAGCGCAGGATAAATGTTATGTTAGTATGCAATTTAAGCCGCGTTTCAAAAAACCAGATGTTCATTAATATGAAACAATGAAACAACGCATATACATACACTATACAATTACAAACATTTTTCAATGAACAATTAAATCAAATAACCAAAGGAATTGTGTAATCTTAGCGAGGTCTTAACAGAAGTAAAGAAATGCATTTTTACAATTGTTTTCTCCATAATTATATAAAAAATTTACAAAACAAAAGTCCATTTTTCTCTTCTAGAAAAACAAACTCATTGTTGTGTCGACTTTTGCTTGGCTTCTTAAATTTTAAATATCCGACCGTGACTTGCTTCATTGCAATAATTCTTCCGACCACTTGTTCGAAAGAATATAAAAAGAAACGATACAACCTTGTTCTTATACCTTTTAGTTGGCGTTTCCTATCAAGCCCTCCAGGGATATAGACTTTCTCGTACACGCTCCTTTCCTTTCCTGGTCTTGCTGTTGTTGATCACCTCCTCGTCTGGCATTCTTGTTACTTGATCTTGTTCGCTCTTCGATGTAGGGGCTATCATTCCTTCCTCTGCCTTTTCCGGATCAAACTGGTCCTCCCTTTTGTGCCTTCCTCTCTACGGTTGGTCGGGACTACTCTCTTTTTCCATTTTGTGGTCTGAGGTTGTAGCCTATTGGGGTAGGCGTTACTGTTTCTTCGTTTCGGCTTTTCTTTCTAAATATTGGCATATTATAAATAATCACATTTGTTAAGGATATAAGAATTATTTCGTTAGCGAGAGCAGTGTGGCGCACTGGAAGCGTGCTGGGCCTATAAACCTGAGGTCTGAGGATCGAAACCACGCTCTGCTATAAATATTTTAGTTTTTTTCATATGAAAAAAGAAAACACTATTGCAAGCACTATAAATCCATTGCAATTTTTTTAAAATAACTCAATAACATCGCCAGATATTTTAATTTTTCTTCGAGGCCGTTTTCGTTCAATTCTTCTAAAAGTGATGCGTTTCTTAAGGATATAAAAATTGCTTTGAAAGCGAGAGCTGAGTGGCGCAGTGGAAGCGTGCTGGGCCCATAACCCAGAGGACCGTGGATCGAAACACTACTCTGCTATGAATATTTTTTATTTCATATGAAAAAAGAGAACACTATTGCAAGCACTATATATCCGTTGCAAATTTTTTTTAAAAAAACTCAATAAAATCTCGAGATATTTTAATTTTTGTTCCAGGAAGTTTTCGTGAGATATTTCTAAAAGGGATGCGTTTCTTAAGAATAATAGAATTGCTAGGAAAAGGAGAGCAGAGTGGCACAATGGAAGCGTGCTGGACCCATAACCCAGCGGTCCGTGGATCGAAACCACGTTCTGCTATAAACATTTTAAGTTTTTTTCATATGAAAAAGAGAACACTATTGCAAGCACTATTTATCCGTTGCAAATTTTTTTGGAAAAAAAA